AGAACTGCTGAGAGAACTTGATTGCACTTTGTTGGAAAACAAAGTTTGACAATGATTTTTCTTCATTTATTTGTAAGGATTGTGTACACTATGTATATAACAAGAGCAGGGTGTATTTACATTTTTCATTTCTTTCAGATTGGGGTACTCAGCAAGAATCAAAGGAACCCACTCCAAAGTTGGGCATTTCAATGGAACAATCATCTCAGGAAATACTTAAGAGGGATAGCCTGCTCTTTTACCCACAGGGAGAATGCGGGAAATATGGTGCCATGCTACAAAGTCATCTGACCAATGAAGAAAAGCCTTTCTGGCAAGTCAAAATCACACAAATGAACCATCTCAATAAATCTAGAGTCCATGAACAAATGGGTTATGACAGGACCTTCAATCCAGAGCCAGCCTTTTTCCCACAGCAGCTAGTAGAAAAGAGTCTGAGTGCGTGTGACACGCAGGGAAAGTACTTTTGGCTGCATGGCTATAGACCACAGTGTAATAGCGGATGCTCAAAGGAAACAGCTAAATATAGTGAATGCGGGGAATTCTGTAAGCATAATTCATTTTTTGTTGACAATTCTAGAAGAGGTGCTGTAGAGGAAATTTATGACTCTAATGTATTGAAGATGACCTCCTCAAGGAAACAATATATTCTTCCTGAGAAAATTCAAACTGGAGAGAAACCTTATGAAAGGAATGAGTGTGCAAGTGCCTTTTGCCTGACGACTGATATTCCCAAATATCAGGACATTCAAAATAGTGAGAAACCTTATCAATGTAATGTATGTGGGAAGAACTTTAGACTAAAAGCCCAACTAAATCAACATCGGGTGATTCATAGTGTTGAGAACCCGTATAAATGTAATGAATGTGGGAAGCCCCTTTAGTCAGAAGATAGAACTTACTAGGCATCTTAGAATTCATACTGGAGAAAAACCGTATGAATGTAATATATGTGGGAAGGCCTTTAGACTAAAAGGACAACTTACTGAACATCAGAAAATTCATACTGGTGAGAAACCTTACAAATGTAATGAATGTGGGAAGGCCTTCTGCAGGCGTTCAAACCTTACTGAACATCACAGAATTCACACTGGTGAAAAACCTTATCTATGTAATGAATGTGGGAAATCCTTTCAACTAAAAGGACATCTTAATGAACATCAGAAAATTCATAGTGGTGAGAAACCTTACAAATGTAATGAATGTGGGAAGGCTTTTAGTCAAAATACAGAACTTACTAGGCATTATAGAATTCATACAGGAGAAAAGCCTTATAAATGTAATGAATGTGGAAAGGCCTTCTCTAGACGCTCAAACCTTATTGTGCATCAGAAAATTCATAGTGGTGAGAAACCATATAAATGTAATGAATGTGGAAACACCTTTAGACTAAAAGGACAACTTACTAATCACCAAAGAATTCATACTGGTGAGAAACCCTATGAATGTAATGAATGTGGGAAGGCCTTTAGGCTAAAAGGAGAACTTACTAATCATCACAGAATTCATACTGGTGAGAAACCTTATGAATGTAATGAATGTGGGAAATCTTTCCGTCTCAGCAGAGGACTTGCTGAACACCAGAGAATTCACACTGGAGAGAAACCTTATGAATGTGATGAATGTGGGAAGACTTTCAGATTGTTCACAGGACTTACTCAACATCAGAGAATTCATACTGGAGAGAGACCTCATGAATGTGATGAATGTGGAAAGTCCTTTGGACATAGGTCAGGACTTACTCAACATCAGAGGATTCATACTGGAGAGAAACCTTATAAATGTAATGAATGTGGAAAGGCCTTCTACTGGAATACAGCTCTAACTAAACATCAGAAAATGCATTCTACAAAGAAACTATATGGATATGGTGACTGAGAGAAAGCTTTACTTCAGAGCAAGATCCTCTTCCAAATCAGCCCTCTCTCCATAGGTGTCCCTCAGGCTTCTGTGATGAGCCCTCTTTTCTCCCTCTATACCACTTCACTTGGACATCTCATCAGCTCCCATGGATTTAGTTACCATCTCTATGCTAATGATAATCAAATCTTTCTTGCCCCTGGTGTCTGCTGAACTCCAATCTAACATCTCCAATTGCCTTTCAGACATGTTAAACTACTAGTTGTAGATATCTACTAGATATCTTAAATTCCATATATCCCCAGCAGAAGTGATTTTCTGTCTCCCTAGACACTCCTGCCATATACCTTACCTCTTAAAGTCAAGGGCAGTATCATTCTCCCAGTCCTTTAGGTTCTCAAACAAGGAGTCATCTTGGATTCCCCACTATCTATCACCCCCTATTCCCAAGTGGTTGCCAAGGGCTGTTGATGTCACCTTTGCAACATGTCTCAAATACACTGCCTTCTGTCTTCTGACATTGCCTACACTCTGGTACAGGCCCTTATCACTTCACACCTTGATTATTGCAATATCCTGCTTGCAGGTCAGCCTGCCTTAAACCTATGCCTACTGCAGTCCACTGTCCATTCAGTTCTAAAGTGCTTTTCCAAAAACACAGATCCAAAGACATCACTCCAGTATTCCTTAACTCCAATGGCTTCTGGCCTCCAGAAAAAAATACAAAATCTGTATGGCATTTGAACTCCTTCATAACCTGTGCCATTCTACCTTGCCAGTTTACTCTTTGGAATATACTCTTTGATCCACTGGCCCTGGCCTCCTGTGTATTCCATGAACAAGAGTTCAGTGGCTACTCCAGTCTTTTTCCTCCTGAAATCCAAAATTCCAAAGCTATTCCATATGAAATGGGGGCGTGGAGGAGAGGAAAATGGCACATTTGTTCTTCTTGAAGCAGAATGCATTGAGGCGTATTGGAGAAGGTCTGTGTCGTCCTAGAGAGGGTGTCCAGGGATGTGCTGTGATTTAGGGTAGAGTTAATGTGACCCTAAAGAAGTCACTTAAGCCATCCCAGCCTCAGTTACTCTCTTGTGGCACAGTGGAGAGAATGCTGTGTTTGGAGTCAGGAAGACACTTCTTCCTGAGCTTGTCTGGAGTCAGACCCTTGCTAGCTGGTCACCCTGGGCAAGTCACTTAACTGTGTTGCCCTCGGTTTCCTGATGTGTAAAATGACCTGGAGAAGGAAATGGCAAACCACCCCACTGTCTTTGCCGAGTAAACCCCAAACAGGGTCATACAGCATTGGACGTGACTGAAATGCCCAAACAATAACAAAAACCTTACAGGGCTGTTTTGAGGGTGAAATGAGAGAATATTTGTAAAATGTTTGTAAACCTTTAAGTGCTATCCAAATACTAGTTCTTGTTGTCATTGATGATGGTGATTTCTCATTCCCTACATCCAATATGTCGCCAAGGCCTATCAATTTCCCCTTAGCAATGGCCCTGGAGTTTGCCCCCTTCTCTCCTCTGACACTTTGGGCCAGGCCCACTTTATCTCATGCCCGAACAATAATATTGCAATAGCCTGCTTGTGGTGGGTCTGCACAACTCAAGTCTCTCCTTCTGTCCTGCCTTCACCTATCAAATTGATCTTCCTACAGCACAGGGGTGATGATGGCACCCCACTGTTCAATCAATCCCAGTGACTCCCTGTCAGCTAAAGCCCTGAATATAAAATCCTCTGTTTGGCTTTTAAAGCCTCTCTTAAACTGACCCCTCCCTAGCTTTGCAGTCTTCCTATACCTCTCTCCCCTTGACCCCCGCATTCTCCAAGATGCCTGACACTGGTCTTGCTGGGCCTCCAACAAGACCCTTCTTCAGAGTCCAGGCATTTTCACTGGCTGCCCCTCGGGTCTGGATCTTGCCCCCACTCCATCTCCATTGCCTGGATTCCACAGCTTCCTACTTCCCAGCTAAAATCCTGCCTCTGGAAGAAACCTTTCTCAGTCCTCTTTCCTGCTAGTGCCTTCCCTCTGTCGATTAAATCCCATTCATCCTGTCAGATTTGTTTGTATGTGGTTGCTTGTTGTCTCACCCACGAGACAGTGAACTTTGAGAGAGATTGTGTCCTGCCTTTTGTTCAAGCCAGTGGAATTGCCAGTGCCAAGTGTACCACAGCTGAATCTGCATGGTTGAATCTGGAGAGACACAGAGGTTGGAGGTGTCCCAGAGCACACGGTCGGGGGCATGTAAGAAGCCCAGAGAAGAAGGTGACCCTCTTGGAGTCCCAGTTAGTTTGGACTGGAGGCAGGGAAGGGTAGCTGAGCAAGGGGCACCCACCTTGATGGTGTTAATTCCTAGAATGTTGTGATCCCCATAGAAGAAGAGTGCGCTAAACAAAGCTCCCAGAATGCCTGAATTCCTCTGTTGGAGAAGGAACTACAACACCTTAAGCTCCCTTCTCCCACACACTGTTGGCAGGGGCTCATCAAGTGGCAGAAAGTCTCCCCCTCTATTCAGCCTGGCTTGAGGCAGTCCCAGTCCTGAACTTGGACGTGTTACGGAGCCCAGGGCTGAGCTTTTCCTCCTGCCCCAGAGAACCCTGCAAAGCACATGCAGGACCCCAGCAGGCTGGGGAGGGCCATCCTCCCTGCCCTCAGCTGCACTCCTCCCAATAAAGCTCACTGCCTGCACTGGCCATCTGCTGCCATCTCGCCCCGCATTCTGTCCAGTGCTGCGCCTCCCCACCACACCAGCTCTGTCCTCGCCAGTGCCAGCTGTTGGGCATGGAGCAGCTGCCCCACACGTGGCCCCTCTTCTTCCTTGGGGCTGTACAGAGCGAGGGCCGAAACCCCAACCCCAGCGCCCTTCTGGGCTGTCCCTGGCTGGTACCTTTCCCCATCTGGACGCGGGCACTGGAAACCTCCATGGGGGGTGAAGACACCCCGGTCGCCGGGCAGGTCCCTGTGAAAGCGCCTGGGAGGGCTTTATCTGGGTCCCAACAGGGCAGAAGGGAGAGGGGAGGGCAGGCCTGTGTGCCGGGAGGGACAAGGAGGAGGGAGGGCCAGGGCTAGCGCGGGGTCACCTGTTCAGGTGAGGCACACCTGAGGGAGGAGGGTAGGGGGGTGAGGACACGTGGCAGCTCCCGCCAATGGCCTGTAGCCCAGGCTCTCCTGCCACACAGGGCTCGGAACCATCCGCTGGACACCAGGAAGACACCGCGGCAGAGCAACTTCATGCACGTCGGCTCCCCGGGGCTTTCCAGCCTGGACACCAGCCTCCCACCCTGGGCCGCGCGCGCGCAAACGCAGGGCAAGACAGTGCCAGGGAGGCAGGTACGGCGCTTTCTTTGGTGCGCATGAGTAGCCTACCCAAGGAACTATATTTCCCAAGAGCCTTTGCCAGACCAGGTGCGGGTGAAGTGGAGGTCCTGACAGTCTAGGTATGACCGAGCCCAGAAAAAAAAATCGACAGGGTCTGCCCGGGATTGGAGCGGGAGCCACACGGGGGCGGGGTTTATGGCGTCACATCCGCCCCTTCCTCCTCCCCCACCCAGGAGTCCTGGTAGGCTGGCAGTTGCTTGGGCCCCTGCTCTGCTCTCAGCCGGTGCCGGAGGCTGAGCCCCGCGTCCCAGGCTGGCGTAAGTGGGGACCCGAAGACGGGCCGGCCGGGCCTGGGCTGCCCAGCGCCCGGCGCCTGCTTTGAAAGCTTCCTGGGTGGGAGGAGCGGTCTGAACACTTAGTGTGACCTCAGCCCCGCCCCCTCGGGCAGCAGAGGCGCCCATTGGCCGTGGGGCGGTGGCGGTTGGAGCCAATCCTGGGCGCCCGTCCTGGCCCCGCCCCCTGTTCCCCGACCCCCTCAGCTTGTCAGTGTTTCCTGGCTGTGGGAGCTGAGTGTTTTGCACCTGGTGTCCCCCCCCAGTGGAATGTAAGCCCCCGAGGGCAGGCACGTCTCCTCCTGGACTCTAGTCCAGCACTTTGGCCAGAACGGGCCTTTCCTCGAATGAATGTGGCTCCAGGACCAGGTGGTGAGCCCTGGCTGAGGACAGCCTCACTTAGGTGTGTGGGGCTGGGGGCTGCAGGAGGGGGCCTGTGCGCTCCTCATGGACCCTCTCTTCTCCCTAGCTCTGCCTTCCTATGCCTCTGCCCTTGCCCAGGACGAGGTCGAATTGGGCAGCAGAAGATGGCCCCTGTGCTGCCACCTGGGACCCCACAGGTGAGTGAGAGCCCAGCTTTGTCCTTCCTGTGCATCCCGAGGGTCGCGCCGTCTCCTGGGGTTGACAGTTGTCCAGGAACCACCCGGCCTCTGCCTGATTCAGTGTGTCTCGTGGGGTCTTTTCTTCAGTCTTCCTTTTTCAGTTATGTCTGTGGGTGGGTTTCAGATTTCCGCCTTTCTCTGTGGTTTATGGATTTTGTGCCCTAAGCCATGATATCCCGCTGTACAGTTCTGGAAAGAGCTTGAGAGTCACACAGCCTTGTAGGGATTCCTGCACAAAAAGCAACATGTGGTTTGGTGACGTTCATTTTTCCTTTGGTTTAACCTTGTAAATATTATATATATGTATATATACATATACGTATATGTATATATACATATACACGTATGTATATATGTGTTTGTGTATATATGTATATAATGAACAAGCATCCACCTTTACCATCTAGCAGTGCAACCACCTCTACTTCTCGAGTGTAAAGGAAACAAAACCAAAGCCTTTGCTGCAAACATGCATAATCAAGCAAGCCAGATTCCTGCATTAGCTGTATCCAGAAAAACAAAAAACCAAAGCTATCCCTTTTCCCAAGGGCCTGCCTGTCTCTCCATTACTGATCACAGCAGTGTGACTCAGGTTACTTCTTTGGGTCTCCCTATAATGTTTCTTCCTATCAAACTTTTTTCTAATCTGTTTTTTAAAAAGTCAACAAAATCCACCTTTTCTTCCTCCCACCCAAGTCCTCAACAAGGAAAACAAAACCCTTTCTGCAAGCATATATAGTGAAGTAAAACAAATTCCTGCCATGTCAAAAAAAAATGCTTGTATCTGCCCTCTGTGTCCACTAATTTTCTATCTAGAGGTAGGCAGCATGTATTATGGCTCACCTGGAATTGTATTTGGTCATTGTACTGATAAGTGTTCCTAATTCTTTCAAAGGTATTTGCCTTTGCCATATTGGTGTCATTTCACAAATTGCCCTCCTGGTTGTCTTCGTTAAACTCTGCATTAGTTCATATAAGCCCTACTAGGTTTCTCTGAAACCATCCCCTTCATCAGTTGTTTTAAAATAGCCAAACGGTATTCTATTACATTTATATAACACATCTCTCTCAGCCATTCCTTAAATGATGGGTATGCACTCAGATTCCCATTCTTTGCCAGCTCAAAAAAAGTTATACATATTTTTGTATGTCTTTAGTTATTGTTTGCTTTATTTATGAATAACCCTAAGTCTATTGTCCCTCTTCCTTAATTTACTTTTACTCTAATTACCTCTTCTCCCTTTTGCCCTTTACTTCTTATATTCTCATAGAGTGAAAAGTATCCAACTCTGTGTGTGTATCTTCCTTCCTTTGACAGGTTCAGATGAGAATGTAGTTCAAGTGTCTTTTCTTTCCCCTACCTCCTTTTCCTTCTTCCCATGGATGTCTTCTTCCACACCCTTAGATAGTCTTCCCTAACCTTTTCCCTTCCTTCCTTGCTCTTCTCTTTACTCTCCACAGTATATTTTTCTTTCCCTCTCTTTCCATTCTTCTCTTATGTCCCACTGAGACATAACAAAGTCAATCCCAAGCTTTTTATCTAATTAGATGCCCTCTATGACTCCTGCTTGTGATAGAGATCTGAGGAGATGTATATCATCTCCACCTATGTTAATGTTTAGTCCCTTATGACTGTTCTTATATTATTTTTTTATATTTCTTTTAATTCTTATGTTTCAACCTCAAAGTTTCTATTGCAGCTCTGGTCTTTTCATCAGGAATGTTTGGAAGTCGTCCATTTCATTAAAGGCCTGTTTTTTCCCCCTGTAGGATTATACTCAGTTTTGTCAGATAAGTTATTCTTGGCTATAAGCCTATTTCCTTTGCCTTCTAAAATATTATTCCAAGCTCTCCTCACCATTATAGTAGTGGTTGCTAAATCCTGTGTGATCTGAACTATGGTTCCTCAGAATTCTTTGTTTCTGGCTGCTTGTGGTATTTTTCTTTGACCTCAAGCTCTGGATTTGAGTATAATGTTCCTGGGAGTCTTCATTGTGAGCTTTTTTTCAGGAGGCAACCAATGGATTCTTTCTATTTGCACTTTGTTATCTGGTTCTAATAGATCTGGGCAGTTTTATTTTAAAATTTCTCAAAATGAGATGTCTAGGCTCTTTATTTTGGCCATGGCACTCGATAGTCCAGTCATTCTTAAATTTATTTTCTCCTTGATCCATTTTCCAGGTCAGGTATTTTTGCTATCAGATAACTTACATTTTCTTTTTATTTATTTATTTTTCCCCCTTTTGGCTTTATTTTACCATCTCTTATTGTCTCATGGAATCATTGGTTTTTTGTTTGTTCCAGCTGGACTTTCAGGAAGTTTGTTGTTTGGCAAAGTTTTGTGCCTCTTCTGCCAATCTACTCATTCCCTTTACAATTCTTTTTTTCAGAACATTCATTTGTTTTCCAATATATTTTCCTTTAGCACTCTCATCTCATTTGTGAAAATCTTTTTCAACATTTTCTTTTCATTAATTCACTCTTTATCTCTTACAGGAAACCTAGTTGAATTTGTGTGCATGGTTTTGGGGGTTTTTTCTGAGGCTTTACTTGGAGATGTTTTCTAGTCATTCTCTTCTTCTGGGTTGGTGTCTTCAATGCCATTGTCACCATGGTAGCTTTGTATGGTGAGATCCTTTCTGTTTGTTATTTGCCCATTCTTCTAGCCCACTTCTCACTTCAGATTTTACATTAGGGCCAAGCTCTGCATGCTGTTGCAAGGAAGGTTTGGGCTGGTCCTGTTGCTCCTTTCTTGGGGTATTGAGTGTTGTTATCCTAGGATCATAGGGGCAGCTCAGGGTGGGAACCGGTAAGCTTTCAGTGCTCCCAAAGCATTCTCTGGGGCAGAGCCTGATTGCTTTCTACCTAGTCAGAGGTTTGCAAGTTCTTGGCCTGTATTTTTGTCTGAGCAACAGTAGACGGCTGCTTAATTTAGCCACTGTAAGCTGCTTGGGAAGTTCAGAGTGATAGAACTCTAGGCCTCTTTTTCGTCTGCAGTTCCTGCCCTGGCCATTCCTTTATAGACTTCAGACTGGGCTGGCAGTAGGAAGTGAGACCCCTCTGCCCTTCGGATACCACACCACTGCTACCTTCTTCTTAACTTCCCCTTATTGGTACACAGCTCAGGACCCATAGCCTCTCCTTACCCTGGGCCCAGTTCCTCTCCTCGGTGGCCCTGGATCTGTCGCAGATATTTCAGCAGTGGGAGACCAAGCGTCCAGGTGGTACCTGCTCCCACCGCAGTGTGCCGGCGTGGGTCTTCCCTTCTCTTGTGTACAGCCTTAGTGCACCATGCTGCTGCCTCACCCCATCCCCAGTTCCTCTTTCTCCTCTCAAGGCTGACCTAGGGTGAAAAAATAACTGACTGACTTTTTCTAGGGTGTTCCCATCAGGATCTGTTCTAGAGCATTTTCTAGTTCTGTTTGGAGGAGTGTTTTTGTTCTGTCATTTTGTTTGTGTCTTTTTGGTGTCAGAGAGTTTTCAAGTCCACTTAATTGCTGCTGCCTTTGAAGTTCACTTTTCCAATCATTTTGTTCAAGTCTGTAACTTCTTTTTTGGTTATATTTGTTTTGTATGTGGTGAGAAATGACAGGAACATTAATACTGCCTTGATTTCATATATGTGTGTATGTACGTACATCTTTCAAATTTTTCTCATCTTTTCCCTTCTGAATTTAGTTGCTGTGATGTTTGCACATACACATACACAAACATCTGGGTGTGTATTTCTACTGTTGCTATCATTTCAATGTCTATGGTGCTTTGAATTATAAGGTAGTTTTCTTACTTCTTCTTTCTCTTAACATTATCCATATTTTCTGAAACCAAGTGCACAACTCCTCCTTTTGGGCATTGAGCTGACACATAAGAGGCTTTATTCTGCTCATTTCTTTCATTCTGTAGCAATATCTTTGCATTAGATATGACTTTTGTAAGGAAAAAATAGGCAGTTTTGTTTTCTAGCCATCTTGTAAATAGATGCCTTTTCATTGCTGAATTCAGTCTATTAAAACTAAAAGTAAAAAAAAATTTAAAAAAACCTAAAAGTCATAATTGTTAAATTAGATTTTATTCCTGTAGTTCTTATGTTAATTGTTTTCTTATATCAGCACAAAATATACCATTCAGCTTTTGTTCTGAACATCAATTTTAACTTGATTCTTTGTTACAATCTAAACTTAAGTAGTCAGTGATCTTCTATCTTACACTCCCCTTAGAGATATACAAGATTATGCTTCTTTGTGATTTAAATGTTTTAAATCTTTTCATTAGCATCTTTTATTTTTGTGGCTTTTTTCCACTTATAGATATGTCTCTCCTCTAATCCCTGTCCATAAAACCATCCCTTTCAACAAAGATTTAAAACAGGAAAAAATCCAATTCAATAAAACTAATAAACACATGAGTGATATCTGATAATATGTACGGCATTCTGCACCCATGTTTTGTGATCACTGCAAGCAAAGGAGGAGCTTTATTTACTTATTTCTGCGATGGTTTATCTGACTGTCTTGTCCTTCTAACAGGGGGCCAATTGTTTTTCCTTTGGTTGGTCACTTTGCAAGTCCAAGGGGCTACCCAGATCTGGACTGCTCCTGCATTGTTTGACCTCATTTGAAAACCACTTTCGCCCCTCTTGCTGGCATATCTCAAAGTGTGCAGACTTTGATTCTGAGTGTTCCGTATCCCAGCCTCTGATTTCTCATTTTCTTCGAACAATCTTGTGAAATTTGAATAACTGACAAGTTGGCATAGAAATGGCTACCTCTCGGCTGCTTGTAAAGACCCTCCTTGGCTAATGCCCTTTGTAGCTTAGTGATGACATTTCAGGGCCCTTTGGTGCCAGGCCAATTCTGTCTGCCCTCTTTGTCTCCAATACTTCTAGGAAACATTTTTGTATTCAGTAAATTAGTAAGTATTTATTAAGTGCTGAGTAAGTGCCTGACACTGGGCCAAGCTCTGGATACACAGAGAGGCAAAAAACATGGTTCCTGGTCCCAAAGAGCTCCCGTTTCAATGGGGAAGACAGCCTCAAGACAACTGTATACTTAGAAAAGGTATTCCGAATAGATGGGTGATCCTCTGTGGTGGAGGGCCCTAGCAGGGGGGAAGGGCAGGAGATACAGAAGGTGGAGTTTGAGTCATGACTGAAAGGAGTCCAGGGAGGCCGTCAGATGGAGATGAGGAGGGAGAATGTTTGAGGCCCAAGGGACGGCCAGTGAAAAGGCCCAGGGTCAGGAGAGAGAATGTTGGAGGAGGGAGTGTTGTGTGTGTGAGGAGGCTGGGGGGTGGGGGGGGTGGATCCCAGGGGATAAGATATAAGAAGACTAGAAAGGTAGGAAGGGCCCTGTTGTCAGGAGTCGTAAAAGGCCAACAGAGGAGGTAATAGGGAGCCACTGCTGATTATTGAGGAGAGGGGTGGCATGGTTACACTGTGCTTTAGGATCACTTTGGAAGCTGAGTGGAGGATTGATTTCAGTGGGGAGAGAATTGAGGCTTGGAGACCGACTAGCAGGCTATTACAGTGTTCCAGGTGTCAGATGATAAAGGCCTGCATGAGGGGTGGGGACAGATGGGGGAAGTGGGGTAGGGCTGGTTGTGTGAATACAGAGAAGGAGGCCTGTGAGAAGGATGTCAGGAAGGCAGAAATGATAAGCCTTGGCAGCAATTTGGAGTGAGCCTGAGGGAGTGTCAAGGATGACACTGAGGTAAGCCTGAATAACTGGGAGGATGGTGGAGCCTTGGACAATAAGAGGGAAGTTAAGAAGAGGGGGAGGTTTTGGTAGGTTTGAGTTTCAGATGCCAGATATATAAAGGTGGGGATGGTCTGCCTGGAGGTGGTAACTGAACCCATGGGAACTGATGAGCTCCCCAAGTGACGTAGTATAGAGGGAGAGGAGGAGAAAGTCTCCTAAAAAGCCTTGGGGACTGCTGTAGTTGGTTGGGGTGGGTGTGATGTGGTTGAAGTTCCAGAAAAGGAGTGGTCAAACAGATAGAACCAGGAGGGAGCAGGGATGAGAAAACCTATGGAAGAGAAGTTATGGTGGAGAAGAGGGTGACTGTGCTATAGGCAGGACAGAGGATATGTATATGTGGACCTATAAGATGTTATTCAGATTTCTTCAGTTCACATTCTTTCCATTAATTCTCAGACTGCCTTGCTCCACTTTCTCATCTGACTCCAGCTCTTTGTATTGTAAGATTTCACATTATCCTTCACTTTTGTCATGAAAACTTTTCCTTTCTTTCTTCCTTCCTTCCTGCCTACCTTCATTTTGTTCCTCTCTCTGTTTTTTTTTCCTTTTGGCAGAAACACCATTTTTCGAGAAGCCCAGTACATTACGGAAATTTCTAAATATGTGCTTTTTTATAAATAATCATCCACAAACAGAAATGTTCCAAGATTTGAAAACCAAAAAAGATTGCACACGAAAGTATACATGTAAACAACAGAACGAACAGAAACAGAATAACTTCTCTTGTATTCAGTTTATTTTTTAGTGGTTTCTTCCATTTAAATGAGGTGGAAACAAAATTTTCTGATATGTTCAACTTCACCTCTCTTACAAGTTCTATATGAGAGTCCTTGGTAAACTCAAATGTACTTGGTGTTTCAGGAAGCAGTGACCTTCAAGGATGTGGTGGTGGACTTCACCCAGGAGGAATGGAAGTGCCTGGACTCCTCTCAGAAGGAATTTTACAGGGATGTAATGCTGGAGAACTACAGTAACTTGGTCTCCCTGGATAAGGACAGCTTCCCCTGGTGCTCACGGTTTTCCCATTGGAAGGCCTATGTTCACACCTTAGTAAATATTACAGGATATAAGGACCAACCTAACTGGCTGCTAAGGTATCTTCCAGCCCTTGAATTCTGTGATTCTCTGACTGGGGTGTGTCAGGTGTTGAGCACTTACTGTGTGAGATGCAGAGATAGAGATTCCTCATCTTTGTGGCTCGGAGAGACACTGGACACCCATGTGCTTTCTGTTCAGTGGTGAAAGGTTTTGCGATTTGATTAAAGGAGATTATATTTGTAAGCCATTTAGCAGAGTACCTGGCACATACTGTTATCTAGAGGCTTGTTCCCCTCCCCTCTCCTCTTTAGTAACACTGTTTCACTAGGGTCTCCCCTGAGGCTACAGATCCTGTTACTGTATCTTTAACAGCCACATGGAATGTTGTGGAGAGGGCAGTGGAGAGTGACAGTGCTGACTGTTGCTTTGAGGGGCTTCTCCCAGTGGAGTCAGGACAGAGTGTGTGTTTTATTTTGAATCTATGACCTCTTTTTGGATAATACACAAAGGAAGACTGATGTAAGGAGAGACTTCTTCCTTGGAAGAACTGTCTTAAATGTTACATTTTAAAGAAACATTATAAAGAGAATTGATGGACCCATGGGAACTGATGAGATCACCAAGTGAAGTAGTTTAGAGGGAGAGTAGGAAACAGTCCCCAAAACAGCCTGGGGGGATTCCTGTAGGTGGTGGAGATAGGCGTGATGTGGTTGAATATCCAGCAAAGAAGACTGAGAAGGAGTGGTGAGACATGCAGAACCAGGAGAGAGCAGGGATGAGAAAACCTAAGGAAGAGAAATTATGGTGGAGAGGAGGGTGACTGTGTTAAAGGCTGCACAGAAGGAAATGTATGTATTATAATATAATGTATATGTAATTAATTGGCCATTTATAGGTATTCTGGAAAGACTGTTTTCTATGGTAGTTGAATAGAAGACAAAGAAAAAGGACTAACATGTCTCATTTACTGAATAGTGCATTTAACTCTTATCTTGAATAGAAATATGAAGATGATTTTTAAGAGACTGGAATCACTATCTGGATTGAACTTTTATTCTGGTCAATTGTGTTTCAGAAGTAAAGAGGAATCTATTATTTTAGCAAGGGTTTGAAGGCCTTATGCCATGCTTTCTTAGAGCTAAGATGTAGCAGATAATTCTATGTGTCTTTGCTTTATAATTGATTTCATTTGTTAATAAAGTGTATATAAGTAACTACTTTTAAGAATGGAGATTTCTCTAGTTTATTCAGTACCTAATGTTTAATGAACTCAGGTGGCAGGTAATGATTTAATTAATTGGAAAGCAAATACCTAAAGATACTCTGGGATTGCTCTGGAGCTCAGGATAATAAAGAAAACAAGTCCAGTTGGAAGTAGAGGTGTAACCTATGGCTGAGTGTGGTTGATACTATCTCCTTTGCTATACTTTGTGCTACTGGAAAGTTAAATCTCATGAGATTTAACTACTCATGATCTCTGTTACAAATGATCTAAGATTCTCCCTAAAATTCCTAGGGCAGATATCTGAATATATGAATGACTCCTGTCCTCTTAAGAAGTCATGGATCTTATTTTTACATGTAATTGGGAGAGGGCAGAATAAAATATAATTAAAAAAATAAAAAATAATATACATTTAAAAAAGGAAGTCATGGATCAAATTAATGAATTTGTTAGTCCATGGTCTTTCAAAGGTGTTTGTCTTTAAAATGTGATTGCTGTAATATGTGCTTATGCGTTCGCATGTGCATACACACACACACACTGATCTCCTGGTTCTGCTCACTTCACTTTGTATGAGTTCATACAAGTCTTCCCAGGTTTCCCTGAAACAATCCTGCTTCATTATTTCTTACAGCACAATGGAATTCCATTATGTCCAGATATCATAATTTCTTTAGCTAATCCCCAGTGGATGGGCATCCCATTAGTTTTTAGGTTTTTGCCACTACAGAGTGCTATAAACATGTCTCTGCCTATGGGTCCTTCTCCTCATGATCTCTTTGGGGTATACAGCCAGTAGTGGCCTCACTGGGTCAAAAGGTACTCTCAAAGTGTTATAACTTTGGGGGCCTAATTCCAGATTGCTCCCCAGAATGGCTGGACAAATTCAGAGCTTCCCCAGAAGTACATCAATGGACACGTTGTCCCAAAGCCTCTAGAATCTTTTTCCCTAGTACTTTTTACTAGCATACCTCAAGTACCTTTTCCAGGTGTTTTACTCTTGGGCCTTCTACCAGCCACAAAGTGACAGGTTTGAGGTTGAATTCTAGTGTGGTTCTCTGTGCTGAGCCCTCCCTGTTCCATTTCCATTGAGCAGGACTTGCATTTCCCAAACCATATGTCATCGACCAGTTGGAGCGAAGGGAAGCACCATGGATCCCGGAGGGAGACATACCGAGGATCAGCCATCCAGGTGAGTGAGTCCAGCCAGGCAGGTGTGTCACTGCAAACCATGGCTGATGCAGTCCTTTGGTGAGATCCCCTTGTAAAGTGTTGAGCAGAGAGCCCCTTTTTAGCTCCCAGGGGAGGCTGCTTGTCATGAGCTCCTTCGTTGAGCCTCCTTGTCCCCTGAACAAGTCAGGACCCTGACCTCAATGCCTTTGGGTAACCTTTCTGGCGGAGAGGAGGAAGGGCCTCAGTAGAGGATAGATCTTTTGTCTCTGCTCTCCTGTGGCCTTTTCCTCAAGAGCAGCAGTCCTTTTGCTACTTCACCTCACTTGATTGGTTATTCCTTTGTACTTCTCAAAGTGTCTTATTTCACTTGCAAAAAGTAAAAGAAATGGCACGCTTCCTTCGCTATTGCCTTCTGATGTTTGCTTTTTTAATAAACTTTTTGGAATTATGTTACTCAGGTTTTTTTGTGAGGATATAATTAAACAATTTTCAAAAACTAAAAGATAAACAACTTGGAGGTTTTACCTGACATCACACAAATTGTTAAAGGGATAGGAACAGTCATTGAGGGGGAGCTGGTGTTGGAAGACAGGCACACTGATGTTCTGTTAGTGGTGCTGGGAAGTGGTCTAATCATTATTGATTTCATTGTGGAGTTAAGCAAATAAAGTGACTAAACTGTCCCTGGACTTAGTTCTCCCACTGCTGAACATCTTTGTCAAGGAAATGGAGAAAGAAAGAAACCAAAGTCCAGTATTTATGCCAAAACAGCAGGATTTTTGGATGGTTTTAGAAAGTGTTTTTAAGTGCTTACTGAGTTCCAAGCATGGTACTCTGTGATGGGGACACAGACAGGAAAGTCAGACCATCCCTGCCCTCCAGGAGCTCCCATTCTAAGGGGAGAAACAACACACAGGGAAGGGTTCAGCTGCAAGTCAGAGAAAGGTCTTCTGGTCCTTGGGGTGCGGTAACAAGGCAGCCAATCAGGCCTCTTCTTTGATGTCATTTCCACTGTTAATATCACATCGCTTTGTAAAGTTGACCCATTTGACACCCTTTCCCCAGCCTTTGATGACAAAGACTTTGTTTCATTTTTATTTTGAGTTCCAAATTTTCACCCCATCGCGCCCCTCCCCCCACCCCAAATGGCATGCATTCTGAATTCCCCTTCCCCCAGTCTGCCCTCCCTTCTATCTCTCCCCTCCTTCTCTTATCCCCTTCCCCTTCTGCTTTCCTGTAGGGCAGGATAGATTTCTGTACCCCATTTCCTGTATTTCTTATTTCCTAGTTGCATGTAAAAACATTTTTTTTCTGATGTGTTTTTAAAACTTTGGGTTCCAAATTTTCTCCCTTCCCCCCTCCCCACCCACCCTCATGGAAAAGGCAAGCAACTCCATATAGGTTGTACATGTGCAATTGTGCAAAACGCTTCCATAGCAGTCATGGACAAAGACTTTGTTTAAAAAGCCCCTGCAGGACGGAGGCCAGCCTGCGTCTCTCATGGGTTGCTTCCCAGGATGATGGCTGTGGGCATTGGGCTGGAGGCACTGTTATTCCCTAGGCTCCTGGGCCCAATGTCACTGTCACGATCCGATGGAGGATGGGATCAAGGCGGTGGAGACACTGACCTGGCACAGCCGTCTCCTGTCTTTCCCTCAGGGCACCCTGTGGCTTTTTCAGTCCTGGCATGCTTCCCCCAGTGACTGGCAGTTGGTTGGTAGTTGGTGGGGTAAGCTTCCAGTTCCTCATAGGACAAGGTAGCAAAGTGGGTGCTCATCAGTTAGGGAATAAAATGAGTATACATTGATTAGAGAATGGCCTCTCCCACTACGGGATCTGAATCTAATAGAACTTTGTTTCTGTAAGAAAGGAATATTGAGGGGCAGCGAGGTGGTGCAGTGGATAGAGCACCAGCCCTGGAGTCAGGAGGAAATGAGTTCAAATCTGGCCTCAGACACATAACACTCACTAGCCGTGTGACTCAGGGCAAGTCATTTAACCCCAATTGCCTCACCCCCCTAAAAAACAGAAAGAAAGAAAAAAAGAATATTGAGAAATTGAGAGAAACCTGGGAAGACTTATGGGCAGCAAAGCTGAATGAAAAAAGAACAGAGAAAACATTCTATACCATATCTACATCCATGTGAATGGAAAGGTCCCTCAAAGGAAATCAAGCCATGAGTCACTGAAAAACCACAGCAGGTCCTGGAGATGCACTGGCAAGACCCCTAGTGTCCCTCAGAACTGGAGCGGGGGCCCTGTTAAGGGAGCAGATGGTGGCCCTCGTCAGCTGAGCTCTCAGAGCAGATGTTGGTCCCATGTTCTTCAACTTGTTCCCAAGTGAGTATTCCCTTTGAAAGGGGAGTAGAGTGGTGGTCATGGAAAAACAGAAGGCATGACTAAAACATCTTCTCAGATGTCATTCTGCTGATTATTGTCTTGGAATTCTGACTTGTGATGATTCCACGGAAGACTTTCCATGTTCTTTTGTGTTCTTATGGAATGATAGCAGTCTGCACCTAGCACCGTCCCTGTCACAGAAGCAGCACTGAATAAGGGCCCCCTGATTGGCTGATTTTGTATGTGATGTCTTCCCAATAGAACAGGAGCTATTTGGCTAGTACAGAGTGAGCATTTCAGAAACACAATGAGTATGGGACTTTTCATGAATGTCTTTCACCCATTTGGAGTTTATACTTGGTAGTATGATCCTTGGTTATGTTCATTTAAAGACTTCTCTAGTAATTCCAAACTGTTTTCTAGAAGAGTTGGACCAATCTGAAGGTCCACCGAGATTATAATAGTATGCCTCATGAGCCCTTCCTGCAGTGATGACTCTCATCTTGTATCATCTTTACCAATTTGCTGGATGTGAAGAGAAATTTCAGGGTTACTTTATGTTTCTCTTAAGAGTTTGAGGGGTTTTTTTTTCATATAACAATGTAAACAGTTTATATTTCTTTTGCATAGTCTGAAAATAAACACTTCTGTAAGTAAACAGTCATTCCCTGGCAGCTAATATATAATCTATGCCAATTTTTGTGATGATATTTGCTGTTCAACATATCCAATGCCCTTGACTCTTTGAAATAAATATTCCTGATATATAGTTTTTATCACTGTCATATTCTGTGTCACCAGCAAGTCTTTTGGCTTCTTTTTTCCTTCCTGAACTATGTATTTCATCACATTTTAACCATCTTCTTCTGGGCCAATGTTGACACTGAAGCCATGGAGTATTAAATTCTTCATTGACTTAATTTAGAAGGCCTTGCTTGGAGGGATATTTGTCTTTCCTTTTCTGCAGCAGGTGTTAGTACAGAAGTGTATGGTCTTTATAAATGTTTGTCAGGCACAGTGCAAAGAAGAGATGATCAAGTTGCTTTTTGTTGCCTTTGGAAGTCACTAGCATTAAACTAATGGTAAAAAAAAAATCACATGATTGTCATATAGAAAAAGGTTACAAATTTTTTTAATTTTAAAAAAGAAAAAGGTTACAGAAAAATATAACATTTATTCATATTAAAAACACCAAAAGGCATAGAAAATGATGCAATGTTTCTTAATCAAATGTATTAATCTAAACTGAGAGGTAGAATAATTTCTAATGGAGAAATAATGTTAAGTTTTCCAATAAGATGAGGATAAAGCACAGTTGTCTGCTGTCTCCACTCCAGCATAACTGTAGCAATTACTCAGAAAAAAGGAAAGGAATAAGAGGCAAAATTATACTCATTTACATATAATAGCATAGTTTACTTACAAAATCCTGGAAAACCACCCTAAAATTAATTAGCAAAATTGATAGGTGCAATAAATTATCAGGATAAAAAAACTACTAATGATTATTAATATATCTCTATGACTGAGAAACTGGGAAGTCCAGGTAAAATTAGAACTTCTATTTTAAATGAAGGAAAAAATGTACAAAATATTTGGAAGTTTCCAAAGCACACTATTATAAATACAACTATGGATTCTACCAATCAACAAGCATCTATGAAATACCATCTCTGTTCTAGGCACTGTGGCAAGCACAGGAGATTCAAAGACAAAAAAATGAAACACATCTTTTCCTCAGTGAGTTTCCACCGTATTGGAGGGATACCATATAACCCAGCAATTTTCACAGAAAGGCCTAAATGATTCAACAGAGATTCAGTGTTTGTGGATGAACTACACCATCCTAATGAAATAATAGTACTACTAGGTTAATCTATAGATTTAATGCTGTATCAATCTAATTACAAGTATAATTCTGTGTAGAACAATGCAAAACAACAACATAATTCATATGAAAACCTTCAAGATAAAGAATGTCAATTGCAAATATCCATAAAGACACAGGTGAAAAGTGGTCTATCAGCAGATGATCTGAAAATTATGCTCCAAAGCTGTTATGATCAAAACTATCTGGTACCAGTTTGAAAATCAGAAAAGTCTATTAGTGGAATGCACTTCACGAGGAAGACTTAAAAGCAAATGGATATGGCAGCCTAATGTCAGATCCATTCAAGAGCACAAACTACCGGGTGAGGCTTTCATTATGTGAATCTGAATTGCTTAGAAAGTCTGGAGCGTAGTTCAGTATGGAATAGGTCTAGAGAATGAATGTAGTCATTATGAAAAATATCTGGAATGATTTTTAGAATGGGAAAGCCATTTAGTAGTTTGCACTAGATAAGAAAGACCTAGAAGTAATTAAATATGGCAGCTAGTGTTGGATGTACTCAGGAACAGAGACTACCAGAGCAAGGCATTCAGTGTTTGGCCAGAACTACTGACAGAACTTGTGTTCATTTTGCTGGAAAACAGGGTCTAAAGATGATTTTTTTGTGGTTGTTGATTCAGAGGTAGGACCGTATACATTATGTGTGTAGCAGCAGCAGCAGCAGTAGCACCAGCAGGGGCTATTTACATTTGTCATTTCTTTCAGACTGGGAAACTCAACATGAATCCAAGGAGCCCATTACAAAGCTAAATATTTCAATGAAAGAAATAGTTAAACCATATAAATGTAGTGCAGGTAGAAAGACCTTTCAACTAAAACAAAAACTCAAGGAACATGTGAAAATTCATACTGCTGAGAAACCTTATCAATGTAATGAATATGACAAAGCCTTCCACAGGCATTCAAACCTTACTGAACATCAGAGAATTCATACTGGTGAGAAACTGTATGAATGTAACGAATTTGGGAAGACATTCTGCCTGAGTGCAGCTCTTACTGTACATCAGAGAAGTCATACTGGTGAGAAACTCTATGAATGTAATATATGTGGGAAGGCCTTTAGACTTAAAGCACAGCTTAATCACCATCAGTCAATTCATACTGGTGAAAAACCATTTGAATGCAATGAATGTGGTAATGCTTTCCGACAAAAAGTAAGGCTTAGTGAACATCAGAAAATTCATACAGGTGAGAAACCTTATCAATGTAATGAATATGGTAAGGCTTTCTGTTGGCCCTCAAAGCTTGCTCAACATCAGAGAATTTATACTGGTGAGAAACCTAATGAATGTGGGAAGGCTTTCTAACAAAGCACAACTCTTACTGAACACCAGAGAATTCATACAGGGGAGAAACCTTATGAATGCATTGAATGTGGTACGACTTTCCAACAAAAAGGAAAGCTTAATGAACATCAGAGAATTCATACTGGAGAAAAACCTTATAAATGTAATGTATGTGGGAAGACATTCCAATTAAAAGCACATCTTAATCAACATCAGAGAATTCATACTGGAGAAAAACCTTATGAATGCATTGAGTGTGGAAAGGTCTTCAGCTGGGGTACACAGTTTATGCAACATAAAAGAATTCATTCTGGGAGAAACCTTAGGAATGTGATGAATATGGAGTGTTATTCTGCTTGAGAAGAGAGTACACTCAACATAAGAGATTTCAGTCTACAAAGAAATTATATGACTGTATTGATTGAGGGAAGTCTTTGTTCCTGAGCACACTATACTTACATTAGCCTGTACTAATCAGAGCAGCCTTACATATATAATGCATGTGGAAAGTTCTTAAATCAGAACTCAAAATATATTCAATACTAAGTAATTCATATGAAAAAAACCCTTGTGAAAGTAATCAGTCCATTAATAAACATTTGTTAACTGCCTACTATGTGCCAGACATTGTGCTAAGTGCTAGGGATACAACAAAATGCAAAAAATAAGGTCACAGTCTAAAGGGAGAGACAAGAAACAAAAATAGAGACAAGCTATTGAAAGGATAAATAAGAAATAATTAAGAGAGGGAAGGCACTACAATTTAGAGAGGTTGGGAAAGGTTTCCAGTGGAAAATGAGATTTTAACTTGTACTTAACCAAAGCTAGGGAAGCCAGAAGCAAAGATGAAAAGGGAGAGCTTCCCAGACCTGGAAGAGCTAAGAGATAGAGTGCCTTGTTTATGGAACAGCAAAGAGGCCAGTGTCCATGGATCACAGATTACATGGTGAATTTGGTATAAGAAGATTGGAAAGGCAGGAGGCAGCTAGATTTTGAAAGGCTTTGAATGGACTAGGCAGGCATGATCTGATAAGACCTGTGCTTTCACTTTGACCCCTTAATAGAATTTGGACTGGAGTGGGGAGAGACTGGAGGAGGCAGGCAGCTATTTCCACAGTCCAGGCATGAGGTGATGAGGGTCTGCACCAAGGTAAGGGCAGTGTCAGGAGAGAAGGGAGCATATTCCAAAAATGCTGGAAAGATGCATTGGACAGGCCTTCTTTGGCAACAATTTGGATATGGAAGATAGGAGATGGTGAAGAGACAAGAACAATACAGAACCATTTAAGCCAGAGTTCACTTCCTTTACAGAAAATTGAAACTCAGAGAAACCCTTTCCCATGGTAGCTATTCAAAAGTCTGAGGGACTGTCTGCCACAAACACTCATTCCTATGAAAAGGAATAAATAACCTTCATCTTTAAGACCATTTCTTCTCCTGTCCTCTTTAATTCCATCCTCCCCTGCTGACTCCAGGATAACACTCCTGTAATAATGCATTTTTGTTCTATTCCTCTCAAATTCAGTCATTCCCAGTAGTCTACAGTTAAAACTGTCTAACTCATAATTGTTGATTTTTTTAAAAACTATATATGTATATATAAGAAACCATGCTGGGTCAAATAGATACAGAGATAAAAATTTTAAACTGCTCATTTTCTTTTTCATTTAT